TTGGAGATTTTATGATATTAGAGCAGATTTTAAAAGTTGATCTTCAGATTTTGGTGGTATCAGAGTACAGTATGATAAGTTCCGAGCCTTGTGCATTTGTGGGACCCTCTCACGAGTGCACGGCGTCTGCCACGTCCTCGGATTTGGGTTCTGGGGCGTGACAGATTTAGTGGTATCAGAGCTTAGGTTGGAATTAAGAGCTTAAGTTTAAATTAAGAGCTTAGGATTAAACTAAGCACCTCCAGATTGAGTGGCATTAGAGCAGATTGAGTGATATCCGAGCCTAGGTTTAATTGAATACCTAGGATTTGTTTTGGACTTGGCTAGCTAGTGGATTTTAGAACCGTGGTGAGACGAGTGATGGGGTATATAAGGAACGATTCTGATTCGTGTTGCCTGAATATTCTAATCCATTCTGATGAGATGGATATCTGATTGTTCTTGTTTCCTGCCTTTATATACCCTGTGTAGATCCATGAGATAAATCTTGTCCGCCATGTTCTTGAGACCTTGTTTTGAACTTGGTCATTTTCTGATTGTCCGCACTTGTTTAGGCTTGTTACGTGAATAGAATTTGTGTGCTCTTTTGCCACCATTGTGAAATCTGGGGAGTTGCAGAGACTTTTGTTATTGATCCTGTTAGTCTCTACAGCATAACTGGTGGAGAATTTGTTCTGTTTGTCACATGACTAGTGGAGGATGGGTAAACCCTCTACTTTGTAAGAGATTCCAGGCTATTTTAGCAAATGTTGTGTGTTTTCTAGCTGCGTTTTAGGAGCTGGATTACTTGTTAATTCCGTTGCTCCTTATCTTTCTGAAAGTCTTATAGTGAGGTTTCACTTTTTCCCACTTGAAGCTTTATGGTCTTTTCATGTGGCTCATTTGTCTGTATTGGTTAATCAAGAGCAGTGAGTATTCAATTGAAATTGTTGTCTTTTTAGGAAGATTGGCAAGCTATCATAAAGTTAAACTCTCTATTGTTGCCGATCTCTACATTCTTGATACTTGGAAAATTGCTTGAAATTCTTGAAATCCATCTTGAGTCTTTCTTGATATTGCTTGTTACTTGTTCTTGAAACTGAAATCTGGAAATGGATAATGATTATTGGAATCCTCATTATCTTGATACTTGTCTGAAATTAATTCTTGCACTGTTCTTGAAATCTATTTTGAGCTGACCTTGAAAAACCATTCTTGTTCTGACTCTGCTCTTGCTCAAATTTTGTATACTGCTCTTGCTTGAATCTTGAATATTCTGCTAGTTCTTGTTTCAGTATACCTGTTGGTCTTCTTGATTTTGATTTTGATTTTGTTCATATGGACACCTCTTTAGGAGGGGTGACGGTTATCAGAAAATACTTATATGAGGCATCCTGATTCCTATCTCTTGCAAGTGTCAAATTCTGTATTCTTGATGCCTTAGCTTTGACTTGACTCTAGGATGACCTGATTGAAAATCTGTTTAGCCTCGCCTCCATGAGCTATGAGGTAAAGGGGTAGTCCTTGAAATACTTGATACCTTAGAGTTTTGTTCCAAGTGAAATGGTTCTTTGATCTGGCTGCTTGGATTTTTGTTTGCCCTTTTAATTGGAAGACATGAATCTTCTAAGCATCTTGATCCCAGTCATTGCTTTGTTCTGTTAATTAATTCTAGTACTTGAGGTGCTAGATCTTGATCTCCTGATTATATCTGCTCTTGAATCCGTGTTCTGATTGTCATTATTGAAATCTCTTTTGTGGGCTTAATCCTTGAATTCTATTGTTTGTTTCATGGTTAACTCTTGTTTCTCAATTTTGATTGCTTGGTTAAATTTGATCTTGATTCTTGGTGAATGCCATTTTGTTGCTGAATTTTTGAGGCATTCTACCTTGCACTCTTGTGTTCTAATATTCTTCCAAGCATTCATATTTTCTATTGATTTTATTTTGTTGCAATTCTTGAGAGTCTTCCATGTCTTTTGATGGTCTTAGCTCTTAACTCTTGTTAATTGCTAAAATTTGCCTCTTGATTCCAGTTGCTTTGTTAAACATGATCTTGGTTTTGGTTGACCTTGTTTTGTGGCAGAATTTATAAGGCATCCATGCACTTGTTCATTCAATCATGATCCATATGTCCATTGGATGCTTATCCGTCTTTGATAAGAGTTCAAAATTTTGTTGTATTCGTGTTTAAATCCATGCCATTCTTTGCCAACTCGTCTTGTGTTGGGTTCATAGCGTAACCCCACAATTGTTCTTTTGTGGCTTTGGCAGGATTTATTTTTATTCCTTGTGCTTTCCGTATTACCCCAGCCTCCAGTAGCTTATTTGATGGCAAATCTTGTTAAGTGATTAGTGTTCTGCTTTTTAAGATTAATTGTGATTGATATCAGAGTGGCGCAGCGGAAGCGTAATAGGCCGTGTTCTGTTCCTAGAAAGTAACGAGGCAATTGTTTTGTCTCGGATTGTGTGAAGCCATTCACCACTTGATATGGTCCTCAATTTGAGTTTTGGGGACAAAACTCCTTTTTAGGAGGGGTGAGTGTAATATCCCAAATTTTCGGGAATATTTAAGTGTAAGTTAAGGACTTGATTGT